GTTCGTTTTCGTCCCGTTCGGGTTCGGGGGGCGAAAGTTTACTTACCTTAACTTAACGTTTCCCTTTTACTTTTACGTTACTTAATTTTACTACTAACAAAAAAAAAAAAAAAAGGAGTTGGGGGATAATGGAATAATACTTTGTTTCTGAACAGTGTCAAGACCAAATTAAATTAAGATAATATATGTAAGACTCTAGTATATAGCACACAGTGCTGAGCAAATTCCAGTTATCTTTTAAAATAAATAAGCCTTCCTCTCAAAGGTCATATAGTACATTTAGACTTCCTCAAATATCATAATCATAATAAAAAATAAAACAAGGTGTATTTTTGTCATTTCTGATATAAGCATGTTGAAGCAACCGAACAGAGCATGCTTTCCTTTTAGAGAATATGCTTTCCTCAGTGACATAACACACAGAATATCCGCATTTTCATTAATATTGTTAAGCACTGATTTTGACACTCCAATTATTACAGTATCAAGTGAAAACAAAGCCTTAAATAATATTTTTAATAAGGGCTTTAAATAAAGAATCTGAGACATGTTCCCAGAAGCTCAAGATAGTCTTTAAGATAGTCTTACTCCCTTGGTGAATGAACACAAGAAATTACATTTCATGGTTATGTTCTCCTGAGCTAAGGGAAATTTTGAGGTTCTTGCTCTTTTATTGTCTTCTCATTTCACCCCTCTCAGAAACGGACCAGAGGCATTAGGTGGCATTCTTAGTGAAGGGGTAAATTATTTACTTTCATGATAGAGTTTTCTTTCGCAAATTTTAAAAATTCAGCTTTTTGAGGTACAATTCACTTACAAAAACTTTTGCCGCTCTTAAATGAGCAATTTGGTGAGACTGAATAAGTGTACCCAGTTGTATTAATAACACACAATCACAATATAGACTATTTGCATCCCATCAAAAAGTTTTCTTTCCTTTTGTAGTTAACCCCTGCCCCCAATCTCCAGGCCTGAAAACCTAAGGATCTGCTTTACATCACTGTAGGTTTGATGTTTCTAGCATTTCATACAAATGGAATCATACAGTCTTCGGTATTTGTCTTCTTCTATTTAGCATTATGCTTTGGAGGACATTTGACTTGTTTCCAGACCTTGGCTCTTATGGACAAAGTTTCTATGAATATTCCTGTGCAATTTATTGTGAGAACTTGAATGTATTTTCATTTCTTTGGATACTGAGAGTGGGATTGCTGGGCTATATGGTGGGTACATGTTTTAGTTCATAAGAGAGTGCAAAACTGCTAAAGTGGCTGTTCCATTTTGCATTCCCATATGCAGTGTGTGGGGGTGCTGGTCATTCCACATGTCACCAGCACTTTGTATTGTATCTTTTACTCTAGTCATTATATTGTACCTGTAGAGTGTCTATTTGTGGTTTAATCTTATATCCCTCTGATAGCTAATAATTTTTTGAGACATTGTATTTTACCTTAATATAATTTTAAAATGTTTAATGTTAAATTAATATTAATTACTTTCATGTGTTTACTTAATTTAACAATATAATTAATTTAATATACTTAATTTCTCAGCAAATGTTACAGTTCACTCTTTTTTTAAAGCATCTTTATTGTGGTGAGGTTCCTGTAAACTGCACATATTCCAGATGTACACTTTGATGAATTCTGATAGATGTATACTCCAATGAAACCACCACTACAATCAAGATAGCTAACATTTCCATCACTCCCCAAGAGGTGCAATTTTCAAATTCCCAGTCTGTCCCTTCCTACCCCCTTTAACCTTCTTGGTCATAAGTTAGTTCTCTATGTCTGTGAGTCTGCTTACAGTTTGTAGATAAGTTCATTTGTGTCCTACTTATTTCTTTTTTTAGATTACACATATAGGCCATATCATATGGCATTTTTCTTTCTCTATATGGCTTACTTCACTTAGAATGATGATCTCCAGATCCATCCATGTTGCTGCAAATGGCATTATTTTATTCTTTTTTATAGCTGAGTAGTGTGTGTGTGTATGTATGTATGTATATATATACCACATCTTCTTTATCCATTCCTCTGTCAATGGACATTTGGGTTGTTTCCATGACTTAGGCTATTGTAAACAGTGCTGCTATGAACATTTGGGTGCATGTGAATTATATTTTTTCTGCATATATACCCAGGAATGGGATTGCTGGATCATATGGTAAGTCTATTTTCAGTTTTTTAAGGAATCTCCATACTGTCCTCCATAGTGGCTGCACCATTTTACATTCCTACCAACAGTGTAGGCAGGTTCCTTTTTCTCCACACACTCTCTAGCATTCATCTTTTGAAGATTTTTGAATGATGGCCATTCTGACTGATGCAGTTTTAACCTGCACTTCTCTAACAGTTATTAGTGATGTAGAGAATCTTTCTATGTGCTTGTTGGCCACCTGTCTGTCTTCTTTGGAAAGATGTCTATTTAGGTCTTCTGCCCATTTTTTTGATGGGGTTGCTTTTTTTTTTATATTAAGGTGTATGAGCTGTTCATATATTTTGGAAATTAGTTCCTTGTTGGTCACATCATTTGCAAATATTTTTCCCATTCTGTAGGTTGTCTTTTCACTTTGTTAATGGTATCCTTAGCTGTGCAAAAGTGTTTAAGTTTAATTATATTCCATTTGTTTATCTTTGCATTTATTTCCATTACTCCAGGAGCTGGTTCTAAAAATATATTGCTGTGATTTATGTCCAAGAGTGTTCTGCCTATGTTTTTCTCTAAATATAAAGTATCTGGTCTTATATTCAAGACTAATTAAATAACATAATATTTTAATTAATTTAATTAAATAAGTTTGATTTAATTATATATTAGGTTTAATTAATTTAATAACATAATTTAATATTAATGTTATATTTAATTTTTTCATCAAATATTACAGTTTACATTCTATTGCAATTTAAAGTATATAGGTCTTGCACATATTTTATAAATTCATTCCTAAGTATTTCATATTTTCTTTGTTATTATAAATGATGCTTTTAACATATCTCTTTCCAATTGATTATTTCTCATATATAGAAATACAACTGATTTTTGTGCATTGACCAGATATCCTGCAACTTTGCTAAATTTCACAGTCAGTAATTTTGCAGAACTGTACTTAAGATTTTCGATACAAATGAATGTCACCTGAAAATAAAGGCAGATTTACTCTTTCCTTCCCAGAAGCAACTCTTAAACCTTAAATAATAACTATATTCACTTAGCTATGTTTCACCATTATAGCTTCTAAAAAATTAACCTGCATTTTGGACTTTATTTTTCAGAATAATATCTTTTTTCACCCAAAAACACAATAAATTAATATGCAAAAAAGGTGATATATTGGCATTATATCCTGGCTAATTTTCTTGGCACAATGGTATCTAGTCAAGGAATATCATATGGAAAAAAATATAAATTGTGTGCCTATATGGATGAACCCAAGATGTTTTGCTTGCATACATATGCAGACATACAGATGTTTTGCTTTTACACATGTGCACAATAAGAGGAATGAAAAGGCAACATCTTCTACTACACTTTCGTGTTTGGGTACTTTTTTTTTTTTGTGGTGTGGGCTGTCTTTCTTTTTATTTAATAAGAGGGACATTGGGTACTTTGTATTTTTTCTCCAGAGTGGGCACCAGCAGCAAAGAAAGAAAGAAAGCCAGTGTCATGCAATCAGATGTGTTCTGGTGACTTTTCTCCTTTCCTGAAGGAGGAATCCTCAAGATCCTTTTCCAAAAGGTATAATTGGGAATAAAATTGAATTCATAACTAATGATGCTGCAGATATTTCAAAGATGTTAAACGACTATCACAATTAACTTTTGGCAACAGATTTGGAAACATTCTAGGAAAATCTAACAGTAAAATTGACTAATGAAAGAACAGAAAATTAATAGACCTATAACTGTTTCAAAAATTGAGTCAGTGGTTTAAAATCTTCCTACAAAGCAAACTCATACTTAATGATGAAGCACCGAAATCATTTCCTTCAAGATTAGAAATAAAGGTAAGAACAAATAATCTATTACCATTTATATTCATGACTGTATTGGAGAACCTAGCCAAAGCAGTAAAGCAAGAGAAAGAAATAAAAGTTTTAATAATCAAATGAAGTATAAATGATTCTTAATATTTGCAGATTGCATCGCTGATTCTTTTAGATTATTTATGTATAACATAAACATAAAATCTAAAAGAATTAATAAAAGGTACCTGGATTAAAAATCAGTATTTAAAAATCAACTGCATTCTTACAAACTTTCAATAGAAATATTTTTGAAACAGTATCATTTCAATAGTAATAAAACTATAAATACTTGTAAATATACAAAACCTATATAAAGAAAGTTATACAACTCTTAAAAAACATTAAAGACCTAAATAAATGGAGATATAATGTATTCGTGGTTCATAACACTCAAAATCATAAAAATGTCTTTATTCTAAAATTTAATGTACAGTTTCAGAGCAGTTCATCAAAATCTTGATGGGGTGTGTGTGTGTGTGTGAGAGAGAGAGAGAGAGAGCGCGCGAGCAAGTTGGCCTGTTATCAGGAGAGAAAACACACATAGCAAAACTTCTAACAGACACATCATTTACTCTAGTACAGTCATGCAACAAGCATTTACTTGAGTATTTTCTATATACTTGGCATTGTTACCAGTTTTACATGTACTGTCAAATTTACTCCTTAAATCCCAATGAGATTGATGCTATTATTTATTTTATACAGAGGAAACTGAGGCATGGAAGACAGTAAGTTCACAGAGGAAATGGCAAAATACAGCAGAGCACGGAATCTACAGACAGATGCACCCTGGTGTGATTTCCAGCCCTGACACTTTAGCAGTGCCCAGTTTCCTTACTGGTTAAATAAACTTCTGTAAAATAAATACCATAAAATAATAGTACCGGCTCACAAGGTTGTTGTGTGACTTAAATGATACTGTGTTTGCAAAAGGCTTAGCCGGGTGCCTGGCATCAAGTAAGAAATAAAGGGTAACTATAATAATTATTTTTATTGTCTTTATTGTTACCATGGTCAACCAGTAATACTTTCAACCATTATTACCTTGAGTCAATTATTTGAAAGTAAAATGTTTCCAAACCTCCTAATCAAAATTGAAATTGTGTCACTTAGAAATATTGGACATTCAAGAAGCATGAGAGATTAATATTAATTAAAATGCACTGATTTTCCATTGAAAAGTGTTGATTTATACCCTGTCACTAATGATGATTCCTTACAACATTTTCTCACAACTAATTTTTTTAAAAACACACACACAGAGAAACACACCCAATATTTTAATCCTATGACAAATGTGTTTGCCACACAGGTATTATCTAAGAGTTAGCAATTTGACTCCTCGATCAACAAGCCCTGTCTTACTTTGTTCATTTCAGCCAACTCCCATTTATTTTACTTTTCTCAGCACATAATGTGATAAATATTTCCGCTGCAACGTGATTCACAGGGTGAGTGTAGGTTGCCAAGGCACAGACGCAAAAAGTCTCACCAGGAGGAGATGAGGAGGATAATATACCAAGGCTGCCACGACATTCTGGAATTCTTTATGTCTAGGGAAAGCTTGAAGGCTTGCTCTTGAATACAGTTAACCTCCTGGTAATTTTTTGCATGTTTCCTTCCGCACACATCACATCACAACCAGGGATTATGGGCTTTTAGCTCAGATAAGGTGGAGACCACCAGGTTGCCACATGCTCTTGCATGCCACAGGACAAAATTAGCCTTGCCAATTGCATCTCTCTCTACTCCATTCCAGCTCAGGATTAGTACAATGACCTTTCCTAATTGGATGACACAAATTCTTGTCTGGAGTCTTACTCTGAATTATAGTTACCAGTCATACGACTGTAATAAAATACTCCAAGCTGTTAGCACCAGGCAGCTGGAGGAGGAAACCAAGGTAGGAATCCTTGTTCCACAAAGCTGGTCTTGGCTCTTTCTTTATAACAGAACAGAACTGGAAACACTGTCTAGTCTTGTGGGAAAATAGAGACAAGCATTTGGCTATTGTCACTCATAATCATCAAGTTCTCTAATTTTAGCCTCTTCTTGGAAACAAGAAAGAGCTGGAAGGGACCTTAGTCTAAACCCACCACCTTTCCACTTTAGGTTTATTGCCCCAGTCATCTACATTCAAGTTCCATCACAGCATATGTCTGCCTGTCCCTCACTAATAGCCCCTCCTGCACACACAAGCACTGAGTCCTCAGTACCATCCAGCAATAAATACTGTGATGTCTCTTTTGTGACTCACTCTTCCATTCATCATTAGTATGCCCAGCTCTCAACCTCCTTAAATATCCAGCCTCCCCCACTTACTCATTCCCCTTCAGTGACCTCATTCTCCTGCTTCACAGAGAAAAATCAAAGCCTTCACAAACAGCAAACCAAAATGGTATGTGCACCAACATCTCGTATCCTTCCACCATGAGGGATGGGTGAACTCTTTACTTAAGAGGATAATTCCTCTACAGTATACCATAGATCCTCTAATCGTCTAAAGAACCTAATCCTATGGATTGCCCCACCTCATTAATTCATCTTCATCCTTCTCTCTGTGACTTCTTTTTTTTCAGTTGTAACAATATATTTTATTGACAAATATATCTAAAATATTGTTTCAACAGATAATCAATACAACAAAAGAGTAATGTTATATTTTACTTGTCTTTTATCCCAAGTCTTTGAAACCTATATGCATTTTTACCATCTCAGTTATTCTTTCATTTTCTATTTATAAATTTTTTACTGAGGTGTAATTGATTTACTCTCTGTGGCCTCTTTGCCATCAACATTTAAATGTTCTCAAGTTTCTCTTTTCTTAAAAAGAAAAAAAACCTTCTTAAACTGTATTTCCCCTATCAGCTGGCTCTCTCTTTTATTTACAGTCACTACATCTGTGTTAGTCTCTTTCTTTGTTACATTAGCTCCTCAGACTCTTGTCCTCCATCCTATCACAAATCCTCTGAAACAGTTCCTGCCAAGGTCACCAAAGACCTTGATGTCATCAGATTTAATTAGTCTAACTCTGTATACCTTATTTTTCCATGGTATTTGACACACTTCTTCCTGCTTGAAACATTCTTTTTTCTTGATTTCAGGACACTACAATCTCCTGTTTCCTCCTATCACTGATAACTCTTTTTCTCCCCTTAGCCAACTCATCCCACTCAATCTCTCTGGTAAAGGATGGTATTTCCCAAAACTTAGTTCGAGGCTCTCTTCTCATGTAAAACTATAAATTCTGCCTAGATGATTCCAACTGTTCGGCACATTTTCATTTACCCTTAATATGCAAATTAACCCAAATTAACTTTGTTATTAGTCTTCTTTGAGCCCCTTATGTACATTTAACTATATAGTCACCCTATTCACACATTTCAAAGGCCACTTAAAGGGAACTTGTCCAAAACCAATCTTAACATATTTTCTCAAAGGTGGTTCTTCTGAGTCTTCCCCCGTCTGCTAGTACTACCATGTATTCAATTGCTCACACAAGAAACTGGGGAATTACTTTTGAGACTTTCTTCTCCTTCACATCCAGTCAATCATCAAGTTCTCCCCAACAGAGAGAATATCTATTTCATCCCAGTCATGTTGCCTAAAAGGATCTTTTTGGTCCTTAGAAAACATTTTACTGAAATAACACTTCCAGTTCTCTTATCATCCCTCTGCTTTCCACATCCCTCTTTAATCCTCCTCAGAGAAGAAATGAATTGCCTTACTGGTAAGTTTAGGAGAAGGAGCCAGGCCATTCTGTATTTCTCTCTTTCAGCCTTTCGTGCTGCATCAGTGGGTGCACTTTAAAGCACATAGAAATAAACTTAACCAAACAAGTGCAAGACTTGCATATTGTAAACTACAAAACATTTTTGAAAGAAATTAAATAAGGTGTAAATAAACAGAAAGACATCCCATGCTCATGGATCAGATGATTTAATATTATTAAGATTTGCCCCAAAATGATCTACAAGTTCCCTGCAAATTCTATCAATATTCTGGCTGGCTTCTTTGCAAAAATTGACAAGCTGAACCTAAAATTCATATGAAAATTCAGAAAGAGAAGTTTGGAGGACTTTTTAAAATACAGGATTAAGACCCTAGGTAATGAAGCTGTAGAGATATCTGCAGAAGGATTAAATTTTAAGAAATTTGAATAAGACTGCTCAGGGCTATTGTGGATGTAGCTTGTACAAACTTTTGAAAGTGAGCTGGCAACAATGTAATAAAAATCTTAAAATATTTACACCTTCCAACTTGCATAATAATCCAAAATAAAAGTCATGAACAAATTTGTCATCAATAATATAGTCATCAATATTAATGACTGAAACTTAGAAAAGTCATCAATAATATAGTCATCAATATTAATGACTAAAACTTAGAAAAGTCCTAAAAATCCAAAAATAAAGAAAACCTACATACTCTACACAGTCACATGATAGAATATTATAGAAATACTAAAATGTTCATAGAGTCTTTAGTTAGATTATACCACAGACTTTTTGTTATTTATTATGTTCTATGCCAGGGGTCAGCAATCAGTGATAGCCCATGAACCAAACATAATCTGGCACCTGTCTTTGTATGGCCCATGAGCTAAGAAATAATTTTTACCAATTGAAAAAAATTAAAGAAAAATATTTTGTGATATGGGGAAAATACATGATATTCAAATTTCAGGGCTCATAATTAAAGTTTTATTGGAACACAGTCAATCTCATATGGTTATGTATTGTTCATGGTTCACCTGACACAGCTAGAGCTGGAGAGATGTGAGAAAAATTTTGTGGTTCACAGAACCTAGAACATTTATAATATGGCCTTTCACAGTAAAATTTTTGCCAAGCCGTGCTCTAGGAAACAGTGCTATTTCAGGTTGGTCTGAGTCCATAGCTCCTCCCTCCATGCCATGCTGCCCCACCACGTGCATACAGCTAGAGGCAACAATCAATATGTGGAAATGGTGGAAAATTATCTCTGAGAGCAGCATCTGGCCCATGGTAGACACTCCATATTTTTGAATGAATGAATGTGTATGTGAATACTAATGGATACAGAAGGGTTCACATGGAGCAAGTGTTCTTGAAAAGTCCTATGTCAGTCTGACTCTTGTCATCATCTATGGAAAAGTAGCCACTCAGTCAAGGAGCCAATAATTACTGGAAGGGGACTTTGAGTTCCTCCCTGTGAAAGGACACCCTGGGTTAAGAACTCCTAGAGTCATGGAACACCGAGGAGGGAATCTCCTCCCACTGAAGTCTGGTTTCTGAGAGGGCTCTGCTGACCCTACCAAGTTCGACAAGCCAGCATGGCCATTGGAGTTAGTCATGCTTAGGCCAGAGGCGATGAAGTAGGAGCTTCTGGTATATCAACTTGTCTCCAGATCTGTCCCATTAGCAAAATGTGGCCAATTTAAATTTACATACAAATTAACTAAAATTAAGTAAGATTAATATATTAGTTCCTCTGTCATACTAGCCACATTTCAAGGGCTCATTCACCGCTAGTGGCTTTTGTTTTGGATGGCTCAGAATAGAACATTCGCATCATCATAGAAAGTTCTACCGAACGGCGCCACTCTAGCCAACAGAACAACTCTTTCATGCAATTGATAGAGTTGTGTGGGGTTGAGCATTTTTGCCCTAAGTCATCTGTGTGATTTGTTAAGCTAAGGTTCTGGTCCCAGTATTTTCCATGATGACACATCTCTTAATTTAGAAATCATCGGGAGAGAAGATTTACCTTTCAAAATTCGGTTTTCCAAATTTCAAGAATCTGTGAGTATTTCTCTTGCATTGCGCCTGAAATCCAAAGAGCAGATGTGGCTGTCCATCT